AGGGATTGTGTCTGCTTTATCCACTGCTACATCCTCAGCATCTAGAACTGGGGTTGGAACATTCTAGACACTCAGTAAAGGCAGTGATTGCATGAATTAATGAATGGGTGAATGAATGAGTGAGTGGGCGCAGAACTCGCAGTGCAGCACCGTCGGTGATGGCTCCTTGGGCCCCTCACTCGCCACAGCCTTTTCCCTGCACAGGCGGCTCTAAGGCTCCAGCCCAGCAAACACAGCCGCCCCTCCCTCAGCCTGGCTGAGGAGGACGCTGTCCCAGCCCCTCTGTCCTCATGTCCTGCAGTCACCACGGGGTGACCTGAAGGACTGAGCAGGAGGTGGACAAGCGGCAGAGCGCCGGCCACATCTCATCTCCAAGGAGTCCCTCCGAGCCGCAGACAGGGCCAGGCTGCCTGTGCCTCCGGCCCTCATAGGAAGCCCGGCCAGGCCCACCTCTGAGGCCCATTCGCGGCCACCTGGGAGGACACTCTCCACCAAGAACCGCTCTGCTCCGGCTGGCGAGGAACTCCAGGAGAATGAGGCCGCCCCGCCACGGGCGCCTGTGAGCACCACCCAGCCAGCACCCAAGACTCCGCACACAGGTCAGGCTTCCCCAGACGTCTTCCACGTAGCCCGGACATGGCCCTCCAACAGCCCAGTGGTCTGCCGGGGCTGCTGGTGGAATGAGGCCTTGTTAGGCTACAGGTGGACCAGAGGCGACCACGGCCCATTGGGCAGGCATCCGAGGAGCTACTCTCCCAGCTCTGACCCTCCACCTCCCTCTGTTCCCAAGCATCTCCCATGTAACTGCTCGACCGGGGCTGGGGCCAGCGGGAATGAGGGGACAGGCCACTGAGAGGAACGCGGTGCAGCGTCAGGCTGGGTAGTGAGCATGCAGGGCCCACTCCCCAACTCAGACACACTCTGATGAAGAAGCCAGCCGCCGGGAGCCTCGCCGCACACCGGCAGGGGCTCTGAGGCGCGGGTCGGTGGCTTTATTCTCCTCCTTCAGGCTTTTCCCACCACTCCCACCCTCCACAGCAAACACGTTGTTTTCACAATGAGAGAAACATCCAGAATGGCCTCAGTGTGCCAGCAGAGCCGTCCTGGGAACTCGGTGACTGCGCACTGTGCTCGGGAGCCAGCAGAAGGTTATTCACTGGGCCAGTCAGGTGGCCTCCAGCCTCCAGCGTAAACCTTGTTAATCACAACATCCGCCTTGTAAAGCGCCTGGGGATTAAGTGAAATTATCCTTGTAAACCCTTCAACCACCGCCTGGCGCAGGGCCAGCCTCGTCAGGACTGCTATTACCAGGACGGGGCGCACCGTGGGGTTTCCTCAGTCATCATACACCTGCTCTTCCAGTGCATCCGCCTGGAGCAGCCTCCGCCACTGACAGGGAGGGACAGCCAGGCTGGGGAAGGGAAGTACGCCAGGAGGCCCCGTGGACTATTACAGTAATTACAGCAGCTGTGCTGAAGTGGGTCTTGAGGAAACAGAAATACAAGCCAGCTTTCAAGTGGTCCTGGGTGCAGCCAGGCTGTGGTCTGCCCTGTCTGCGATGCGGAGATCAGCCGAGAGCACTTCCAGGCAGAGCAGGGCTCAGGCGGCGGGTCTGCGGGCTCTCCCAGTCACTGAGCTGACAGCCAGCTCCTGCTTCCACGTGATGGGATCAACTGCCAGTTCGATTTACAAACACATCAGAGGAAATCGGCTTCTGGTTGTGGGAATGTCCTAAACGTGGAGCTCGATTATCACACGTTAGAAAGTGGAGTCCTTATAAAGCATTAAACGAAAACGCACGGATGCCAAGTGTAAATTAAAATGGCAAGGTGGCATCTGACCTTTTCTAACCTCAGGAGGGGGAAGGAGAATCAAGACCAATGTCAGCCCGAGGCTGATGTCTGTGAGGTGGAGGTCAGGCATACCTTCACCCTCCAACCGTTTTACCAATTCTGACACCAGCCGTCCCTCCCACGGCACTCTCTCTTCTCTGCTAGGTTCCATAGTTCGCTGTAATGGCCACACAGAGCTCAGAGACCATACTCACGGTTATGGGGTTTATTGCGGAAGTAAGAGGCTACCACTCAGGATCAGGATCAGGATCAGGATCAGGATCAGGATCAGGAACAGGATCAGGATCAGGAATTATGTAGGCAAAATCTTTCTTCCTCAGTGCAGGACAGCTCTCTCAGCCATTCAGGCCTCCTCTCGGTCCCCTCAGGACAGGCCTCCTGTCTAGGCCCCCTCAGGATAGGCCTCCTCTCGGCCCCCTCAGGACAGGCCTCCTGTCTAGGCCCCCTCAGGATAGGCCTCCTCTCGGCCCCCTCAGGACAGGCCTCCTCTCGGCCCCCTCAGGACAGGCCTCCTGTCTAGGCCCCCTCAGGACAGGTCTCCTGTCTAGGCCCCCTCAGGACAGGGCTCCTCTAGGTCCCCTCAGGGCAGGTCTCCTGTCTAGGCCCCCTCAGGACAGGGCTCCTCTAGGCCCCCTCAGGGCAGGTCTCCTGTCTAGGCCCCCTC